ATGAATGTCAGCATGCAAATGTAACATGCAATAGATAAAACAGGAGCTTCAATAAAGAGGCCACAACAGATTGTAGGTTAACTGATTATAATTAATAAAATGTATATTAAACACTTAACTTTCTTATTTCTTAAGAGTTATCAAAGTCCTTTGTTTTCCAGCCAGAACTCCAATAAACCAAACTAATAATCTGCAGAATGAAGCCCAGCAGCAGTCTTCACACCTGCTGGCAATCAACCTACTTCTCAGTTTGTGCCTCTTATCTGATTGGCTGTTGCCTCCTGTCCGGTTCCCAGTTTTCCCAAGTCACAGCAACATTTTCCTGTTAGCAGAAAACACAGGGTACTCATCAGTATAAAAGGAATTTGATTAGTTTTGCAAAAACCATAAACAAAATCTGACTTGAAAAGTCTTTGGTGCTAAAGTTGTAAAAAATTGCAAGAAAAAGTAATAAAAATAGTTTGAAGTGTTACAAGACAGGCTGAATGTAAAACTCTGTACTAAAAATTTCATTGCAATCTATCCAACAGTCACCTTGTTGTAGTCTAGACCGAAGGGGTGGATGGATCAGCTGATGTAAATATTTCATTGCATGCACGGTACCCCCCCTTCATCCCACACCCCAAAAACATGCATGGCCCTTGGTGGACAAACAAAGAAGCAAATACTTGCATACTAGCAAATACTGCACAGTTGTGAAAAATAAACTATGGAGTCACTTTTTTTATTTTGATGTTTTCCCTCTCTAAAAACTCTGTTGAGTAAGGTGAAAGCTCAAGTGGGGTGCTGTTTCTGGTGACTGATAATATGTCAGTAATTGTTTTTTTGTTTTGTTTTGTTTTTTTTGCATAAGGAGACAAGATTTATTCCATCCATATATTCTGGCACTGTCAGGGTTGGTTGAAGGAGGACTCAAATGCATGACTTTCTGAATGGAAAAACCGTGTTTACCATGAAAAGAAACTATGAAACAGTGCCAATAATCCACAGTGCATGCGTTCCTAATCTGGATGCCATGATTCTTCTCGTTGATACGTGGTGATGCTTTGTCCTCCTTGGTGCCTATGTACAACAGTGTGCTGCTCCCACCACACATTTCCGCAATCTACCTAGAAACAAGAGATGCCGCAGTGAGTACAGTCCCATCCACCGGCTGACAAAAAACAGTCTAACCATTCCAACAGGAGATGAAAACACAGTGATATGAGTTTGAGAACTAACTTCATAACAATCCCAACTGCCACTCCACTGTTCTCTTAAGTAGGCCTCCTTGATTAGGCAGATCGTCAACAGGTGAGTGATTAATCCCAGGTGTGGCTGGCTCAAAGGCAGGAGACTCTACAGGCCTTGCGTTGCAGCTAAACTAACACACCACAACACACACACACAAACGTTTACACAGGGAAACGAGGGACCAGGAGCATATCACACCAACAAACACATGAACCTGACGCATGACCAAAAATGACACATGAGCCCCTGACACACACGGAGATGCAGAGGCACATTGGCGACATAGATTATCCACTTCATTCCAATCAAGAAAACACTGATGCCCATCTTCTTTTTGTTTTTCAAGAACCTTTCAAATTTATTCTCTTCTATTAGGTAATAATATGTTCTGCATATTCGCTGAGACAGAGCGAAACGCAAAGCACAAGCAATGTATGAACAAAAGTGAATGAATGCAGCTTAGTAAGGCATTTATGGAGACAGATAGGGGAGAAGAAGAAGAAGTAAAACCTGAACGTATCATGGAACAGGCTGTGCTAGTTTATCATCATGACACTGTGACTTGTTTTTCATTAAACATTATTTGTTTATATGTATAAATCTATGACTCTTTGAATCTTGGGAACAAAAGTACCATAAGATCACCCCATAAGGAGGAGATTGGACTGAATGAATGTGAAAATAAATTTGCCTAACTTAACATTTAAGTTGCACTAATAAATTTTCAATAAACAAAATGACTAATGAATGTGATTTGGACATATCATTGTACACTGAACCTTTCTATCCAGTCTTTCTATATATCTAAAAGCTCCTGCAAATTCTGATGCTAACTGCAAGTCTGCAGCTGAGTCACTTACACCTCTCGTCTCCAGAACTTTTAATGCGTACAGTGCCTGCTTTCAAAATCACTGCATTGTGAAAAATGAAGCATTATTTAATGAAAACTCTCATCAGCACATCTGAAAATGTAGACTTTTATATATATATGTATATATATGTGAGTCACACTGAACTCAGCTGCAAACTTAAAAGTGATAACTTCTACACTTCTACACTCAAAAATATGATTCTGCACCCTCAATAAACATGCAGCAATAACTTTGATTAAACACAGCTGAAATATATAAAATCTAACGTTAATATATTTAAAAATAATAATAATCATTAAGGAAATGTGCCTTTTTGGCAGTACTTTATTAAAAACATGAAGCCTGTTACACATTAAGCATGGGTAACAGGTAAACAGACTATGAAGCTAATCATTACCATATTTTGATAAGATTTGATCGCATTATAGTGATATTTTTCTTCAGCTGGATATAGCTGCCATTTGCAGGTTTTAGAAGCTGGTGTGATGCCAGGTACTGTTTGAAGTGTGTGCAGAGAGAAAGCATCATTAGTCTGATCTATTTGTGTGTGAATCCAAGTGGAAAATTGTCCCATCAAGCCAGATGTCTCTCCTGGGGACTCTGGAGCCAAAATAGGATGCTAGCCAGCAGGGTTGGAGTTCAACTAAGCCCATTCAGCACTGCACATTAGCTGCTTCTGCTTTTAATGTTACCGCGTCACAGGTAATGATCAACAGAAAAAAACAACAGCTTAATTCTTAACACAAAAGTCTGAAAATGTGTCTCTTTTCAGCTCCGCTGTCACACGTCCCCGTGTTATTGCACTTCTGGACACTCAAACAATAAACCTGCAGTCCACAGGGCAAAATTTGCTTGGATACATGTGGTGATAATATGCTATCACAGTACTCTGAAATGTAATATAATGTATGCTGCTGGCTTTTTTATGGAGGAGCAAACTGGATGAATCAACATAATCCAAACCATTGTTTTGCTTACATTTTAACTGAAAAGTAAATATCTACTTTATGTGGTTTGTTTTGTTTTATTAATGTTGCTCACAGTTAATTTCCACATGTGCATCCTTTTACTCTCTGTAACACTATCACCAAAAGGGAAAAACACCCCAGGTGCTCAGCAAAACAACACATTCATTTATTAAAATAGGAAAGATATTTACCATTTTATGTGGTAGAAAGTTTCATTATAAATATGTTAGGAATATTAGCATTTTTACATACCTATGATATCTATAGTTACAGTTAAATTGTTCAAATTTATGGGAACTTTTAAGGGTCTGTTTTAGGTGGAAGCTCGTTTCCTCTGCCAAAAAAACCCCAACCTTGTTTTTGTTTTTTGCACCTCATTTTTCCCTCAATATTGTCAAAATTATCTACACTGATTTACAGATGTTAAGCCCAAAATTTGTCTGGTAGATGCCCCAATAAATGTTTTCTTTTCCACCCATGAAAAGTTTCCATACTTTAAGATTTTGTTTCTGAAAAAGCGCTGTAGCAAAATAATAGTTATTTGATGTAACTCCAGTTCCGGCATGTGCTACAAAATGTAGCTGTTTGCTGTCACCAGAGGGCAGTGCCAAAAATATGTGCAACAGCCAGTAATGTGTGTTCCTCTTGTTCATGTTTGGAAGTCATAGGCAGAGAACATCTGTATGAAACCAAGTCTTAGAAACTCTCTGCTTTTGGCAAGTGATTGAGCATTTAATTTAATTCCATTGTATTAGTTATTTAGGTTGGCACCAAGTCTGGCTCCACTCCTCCAATAACCACAAGTAATAGTGAGCAATAGTACTAATACCCGAGCCAACAAATTTACAGAAGTACAGAAGTTTTAAACCTTAGCTTAGCTTTGACAAATGTGCTTCACAAGTAGCGATAAGGTGGGAAAGCACAGTTACTAGGATGTGTGTTTTTCCTTTAGTTGTTTTTTGCTATAAATAGTGATATATATAGTTTAAAGTTGAGTTAAAAGACTGTATTACACAGCCTCTTCTTACATGTTTCTCACAGTCGAACTAAAAAGCTAAATCTTATTTGGTGGTTTACTATTATTAGTTACTCACCCACTGTAAATGATTTATGTCTTCCCTAAAAGGAAGCTTTAGTGCTAACCTGCCCTAGTTAAAAAAAACAACCCTCTCGATTAAAGATGATAAATACAATAAAGTGATTATGAAAGTAGGAATCTTCCGGCATGGAAGAGAGAGAATGAGAGAAGAGGGGAAAGCTGGGACAAGGTTCAACCACAAAGAGGCAACAGCAGCAGCGGATGAGCAGTGAAGGGGATATATGTGCTCTCTACGATGGTGTGTGTGTGTGTCTGCAGACTGTGTGTGAGAGGGGAGGGGATAAGAGAGACCTGCTGATATTGTTGCATTTCTGTCCTCCTTCCATTAGTTGAAAGGATTTTAAGGATACAGCCGAGTTTGCCGAGATCCAATGGATGCTTTTCAGAACAAGCTAACTCTCTTAAAGTTCTTTACTGCAAGCTAGATTCATTTAATGGGGAATTGTTGAGAAGATTCTTCTGCTTGCGGTGATTGAACGCACGCTTCTTCAGTTTAGTCACATTTTTAGCCACTGGACTGAGTACTGTGATATCTGATGTTTCATTTGGTACGTTAAACAGCCTAAAAAAAGTTCAAAACTTGTTTTTAAGGATCTTTGCGAATTTTTTTTTTTTTTTGCTAGATTCACGTTTTGTGTTTTGACGTATAATGACTGTAAGAGTTAAATCTCTGATTGTGATCACAACAATATTGGCCCATTGCAGCTATACACTGGCTTTGTGAATTTAACCGGACAAGCATACGTCTTAGCGCCTTTTAGGATGACTCCTGACAACATAGGCTCCAACCAACCCACAGTGACCTCCTTTGGCCACTCCCCTTGGGTGATGGGTATGATGCTCAGTGTCGCCTCTTCCCTCATCATCTCCACAAACCTGCTCGTGGCAGCTGCTTTACTTAAGCTACTCCTCAAGAAGTGTAGCCAGAGCTGGTGCTTTGTCCTCAACTTGGCACTCGCTGACAGTCTGGTTGGCGTAGCCATCACTGGCCTGGCCACAGAAGACCTCAGCAGGAATGTCAGTCTTGCTGATCGTCCCTCAAACACTACGCCTTCCACTGGCCAGGACAAGACCCGCTGCCTGCTGCGAATGGCATTTGTGATATCACCCTGCATAGCATCCATCATGTCCATGTTTCTCATCTCACTGGACCGCTATGCTGCCATCAAGATACCCCTGCGATACTCGCTGCTGTCTGGGAAGGGGACGGCAGCTGGAGCCTTGCTGGTTCTGTGGATCATTTCACTCACCATGGGATTCATGCCAGGTGAGAAACAGAAATGATCAATCAGTGTGTTGAAATATGCAGAGGACTGTGCTTTTATGTAATCTAAAGGCATATGTAAGAAGGGGCTATACAAGGTTTAGACTCTGGATTTGACCTAAGAGTTCAAATGCTCCTCTTTGAAATTTCTACCTGGAAAAGAAAAGGCCCAGATTTAGTCACTGCTCCAAAACTGTAAGTTCAAATTATATACCACTGGACTTTACGGATGAGAAACACAAATCACAAATTTACTTTGTATTCACCTCGAGAGTCCTCGAGGAAGGCTTTTTCAGGATGTTGCAGATCACATTGAGATTGCCTGTGTGCACTTTTGAGTGTGGCTTCCTTTTGACCGATACGTTTCTATCATATGAGTATTCAGGGTGTTTTACTCCCGTAATGAGAGGCCTACAAGCATGCACGGTAAAATTTGAACAGCTGCAGTCCAGTGAGACAGATCATGTAACTCCATTGTTTCATTCCTCTCCAATGGCAAATCTAATAAGTGGCCTCTTGCAAGTGTTCCATTCATCTAAACTGCAAAAGCAACAAAAACTGATGTCACTGCTTAATATGAAACTCTCAGTCCAAGCTTTTGTTTCTGCATGTTCTCCTCGTGTCTTCTTCTTCTTCGGGCCTTTATGGTCGCCACAGTGGATCATCTCTCTGAATGTCCTCCATCACTACATCCATGAGCCTCCTCTGAAGCCTCCTCCTCCTTTCCTCCTGCACCACTGACCTTTCCTTACCACCTTCTCTTCCCAGAATTTCTCCTTAGCAGTCCTTTGCACTTCCTGATTCATTAACTCCTCCATCCATCATCCACTCTTTCATTCATCAGAAACGAGCCTTCTATTTTCTCAACACACTCTCTTTACTTGTTAGCAAGTTTATCTCTATTCTTAACCACACTAACCTGTTACACGTCCTTTGCAGCTTGATGAATCTCTCCAGAGAATCAATGGAAGCCATTTTTTTCCTTCCTTGAGGTCAAGTCTCAACTCATTTAAGCCTTTTACTTTCTTTTTTCCACCACTCTCTTTGCTTCTAATTCACCTGGTCTCCTGCACACACAACAGCACCAGAGGCAGTTATTAATCCAAGTCCTGACCGATTTGTGGAAATCTCATTCTGAATGATTTGCATGCTTGATTTGACCAAGATCTTATGCCCGATGCTCTTCCTGACACAACCCTCCACATTTACCCTGGCATGGGATCGGCACTGGGATTACACTGGCTTGTGACCTGGTTGTTTGTACTCCTGGTGCGGTGCTAAGTACCTAATTTTTTAGTATGAGCCCTTAAATACTGTTTTTCTACCCATCTTTTAACACTGCTAGTGTTGTTTTGAACAGATAGCTTAAGGAATACCAATTAGATGAATGCCTAATTAAGGCCCTGGCTGGTGCGGACCTGCATGTAAGGGTTTGTACTGGCCAGATCAATCAACCTGATGCAAATACACAAAGTTAATGTGATGCAAAACCCTGCCAAAGGCTTTTACATTCTATTGCATTACATTCAGCCGGCCTACGTTTGGAGGTAATGCACCAAGAAATGCAATTATGTGCTGTTAAAGGGAGAAAAAAAAAGACTCAACAAATGTAGGCAATGCAGGGTTGAAGTATTTTTATAGAGGATACTTTTTCATAGAAAAAGTGCAGACTCATTGTACTGCACATATATTTTTCCCTTCAAAACAGTCACTATTTTCTTGGAGCCAGTGTAGTGTTGTCTCCAGGGTCAAGATACGCTGCAATACTATAAAAAGAAAGGAAATGAGTTATTACAGTCACCTTGTTATTTCTAAAATGTATGAAGTTTTTGCATTGTTTGATTTGTAATCTGAGCATATCAATATATAAAGAATATATTAAAAAAACACCTCATGTCCTCTTGTCCTCAGTTATGGTGCGGCAGCTGCAGGTGGAATCAAGCTATGATGGCTTCTGTGCCTTCTTCTCTGTGATTCACAATGTGGCCATCGTCATTTTCCTCAGCGTCGTCTTTTTCCCAGTGCTCGCCATCTTCATCTACATCTACCTGGATATCCTGAAGATCGCCAGCAACCACCAGAAGCAGATCTGCCGTGTCAGGCAAGCAAGCTCCTGGAACGGTGACCACCACAGGCAACATAGCCAGCATCAGCCTCACCATTCATATCTGAGGATCAGTTACTGGAGTCACGTCAAGGCCCTGAGGACGGTGGCGGTGCTCGTGGGCTGCTTCTTAGTCCTCTGGTGCCCCTTCTTTGTGGTGTCCATAGTGCACATTCTTTGTAAAAGCTGTGCTCTCAAAGCTGTGATTGAGAATCATATATGGCTGCTGGGACTCTCCAACTCACTAATCAACCCTATAGTGTATGCCATTTGGCAAAGGGAAGTGCGGCTGCAGTTGGTAGCCATGTTTTCCTGCATTACAGGCAGCTCATTGGCAGCCAGAGCAACTGTCACAGAGAGAGGCGACCCACAACCAAATGTGCAGACTCAAGCCTCTGCTTCTAGAAGAGACACACTAAACCCTGCACTCTTGCAACCAATCACCAATGATGAAGCTCATGCAGGACCACAAACGGCCACAACAAGTCTGTGAAATAAACTGGGAAACTCGAGATATACTACAAAAACACATGTGAATGATTCTCTGAGGGATAAAGCATTGATTAATAGGCTTTGTAACCCCTGAAGTACATTATTATTATTATTATCACTAAATATGATGCTTTTTTTAAGTACCATATTTGCACCTCAGGCTTCAATGTGATTTCACCCAATTCCTTCAAGCCTGACTACGAACAGGCCACGGAGCTAATAAAGTTCAAGTCAAAACTTTTGCTTTCTTTGTTTGTCTAATTTAATTATTTGAATTATGCTATAGTTCTGATGCATATTTGATCTGCTTAATCTGTATAATATTTTGGCAGGGAAAAAAATCACAAATATCATCTGACAGTAAAGGGGAAATCAGGTTTATTATGTCATCGGTTTTAACCATATATTTATTAGTTATGATAAATTATGAAAAACCAGGGTAATTCCTGAAATATTTAGGAGTGAGGCCAGTACTTCTCTTTGGTACTCCCTGTGCTGAATGACTGTAGGAGGGAGAAATGTGAGCACAACAACATTTATGTATAACTTGGATATTTATTCCGTTGCTCCATGTGAAACGAGGGGTCAGAGGTCAGTGATAGCAGGGGGCAGGAAGTTCAGTGCTTCAGTTCACAGACTTTGACGTGCACTCCTGATAAGTCTGGAGGGGTTCAGACCAGTCCCAAGATTAGAATGACTATAATTACCGAATATTTACGCCCTTTATGCCCACTTACTGCAAGCCTGATATTCCACAGAGACTCACAGAGGACATTGTCTGTGTACAGCCTGGAGAAATCCCACAAGGACGTGGGATGAGAAGCCTGTTAGAAAGTCAGTATAGAAGTCTCTGGAATCTCCTGGCTCTCTATAAATGACTTTGATGTCACACCGTGGTTTGTGGAGCCATGTTTTTACTTTGATAATTTCTGCCAACATCCATGTCAGTTTCTTTAGCCAGAAGTGTTCATATTTAGATGACGGGGTGGAGTGCTAAGTTATCAGACTAACTGATAATTTGTCAAAATGCTGATAAAATACTGGAATTTCACTCACAAACTCTGGAGCACATCACAGTGGTCTGGTTAGGTCCTGGGTTCAAATCCACCATGTAGCTGGGGCCCTTCTGTTTCGAGTTTGCATGCTTTCCTGTGCCTTAATAAGCTTCTTGAATTGGATGGGCAAAAGAAGGTGGATGGATGAAACTGCAGCACAGAAAACTACAGAGCAGACCTTAGTATTACACAAACAGTTGTCCCACAGGTAGGTCCTGGCAGGAGGGACATGTGTGCAGTAGCTAGCACTACCACCTCACAGCAAGAAGGTCCTGTTCTCCCTATATCGGTGTGGGTTCTTGTGGTGTACTCAGGCTTCCTTCCATCAACTGGCCCTTGATGTAAATGTGATTATGAATGGTCGTATGTCTCTGTTAGTTGTCCCTGTGATACAACCAAGGTCAAGAGGTCGACCAGTGATACAGTGTTTACACTTTACCTTTCACACAAAGCAGCTGTACCAAAAGGACATTAGCTTTTTACATCAAAACTTCACTACAGAACTTGGGATAACACAACAGTGTTGTGTAGTGGGGCTCAGGTGATCGATCCCAGTCTGTATGTCTCGGGCAAGATACTAACCACACGTTGCTCTCCGATGCATCCATCGGAGTATGAATATGTGTGAATGTTAGATAGGAAGCACTTAGAAACAGCGTAGAAAAAAGTTCTTGGGTGAATGTACAAGTTGAATGTACAGCACAAAAGCGCTATATAAGAACAGGTCCATTTACAACCAGAACATGTAGCAGTCTTCAGTTACAGTGACCACACAGTCAGTTAATGAGCTGAAGTGCTGCCACTGTTATTACACAAGTAGTGCAGTTAGCTCTTAAGTGATTATTAAACTGGCAACATTCACAAGAGTCTGAAGAATTCTCATCTTTTTAGGACCTAAATACTCTTAGTTGCTATAAAATCCTTTTAACCATCATTTTGATAATTTTACTGACAAAATCTTCAACTGGATAAAGATGGAAATTTCCAGATTTATCACAGGAAAAAACAAAATTGACAACCTTATCTTGCATTTAAAATTACAGCCTATGGCTTTAGATATGCAGCGTCTCTTTGGTGAAAAGTAAACTGAAGTCATACGGATCATAAACAACATGCAGCTGCATGTCTGGAAACAGGCGGAACTGATAACGTTATCAATTCTCTCGGACACATTTTGTTTTCATCCTCTTTTATTACATCCATGTAATTTCAGCTGATGACTCTCAGATAGCCGATGAGCCGGCTGTTTTTCGGAGTAGCAGCTATTGCACATGTAACATTTCATACCTGGATAACTGTTCAGTCATGGAGACTTCCTTGTCTACTTAAATCTTGAAATTACCGTCCACTTTACATGTCAGCAGTCTGTATCAACAAGGCAGTTACACCAGCAAATGTCAGAGATTTCAGCATGAGCTTAGATAGCTGACATTTACTTTAGACTGATAGGCTGCAGCATCTACATTAAGCATAATAAGCTCAGCTAAAAATCGGAACAAATATTTGTCATTACATCATGCTGCTCTGTGCCAGCATGGTCACTCAGATTACTTTTGCCGTAGACATCACTCATTATAGTTACAGTGAATGTTAAAAATGGTCATTGGTGGCTGACTCTGAGAGACTCTGTCAACGTCCTTTTTTAGTAGCTCTAAGGCCCAAATCTCAACTACCACAAACTTTAGTTCACCCTCCTTCTGTTCAAAACACATAAAATTCCCACTTTTTTAAGCTTTTGTTCTTTACATACCGAGTGTGTTTTTCAAATGCGAATTTATCGTGTTACGTACTTACACACCCAAACATGAACTTCTTGATGAAATAGGAATCTCCACATTCTTCCTTTTTTTGTTTAGACATTATGACCAACTTATAAGATAAGATATGATAACCTTTATTAGTCCCACACGTGGGAAATTTGTTTTGACACAGCAGAAAGTGGACAGTGCAAAAGTTATATAGCAAAAATTAGAATACAATACAAATAATATACTGTACACAACTGTACAGAATAGAATGGAATAAAATAAAATACTATATACAGTAGAATAAAATAGAATAGAATATACAATAGGATAAAAATAGAATACAAATTCTATATACAACTGAGTAAAAATACTCTTTCTATATTATTATTATATTATTTATATTAATATAGCTCGATGACTTTATTTTTTGTCTTTTGAGGATGAAGTTGCTGCAAAAAAATGCAATCCTTTCAGAGTGTATACACACTGTAGTATGCAAGTTTGCATCTGAAAAACTCTGAAAAAACAACATTTTGTGTTGTTTTTTTCTTTAGACATTAACATGATTTCACATGAGCAGAAAGTACTTTTACAAAAAGAATATTAATTAATCATATAAAACAGCAATTCTATACTGGGGACCTCTCCGGGGTTTACACAGATATTCTCCGCCCATTCCTGCAACCCTGAATGGGATCAGCAATCAGGGACAGAATAAATTTCGGACACATCAAATCTGAAATCTTTATTACAAACAGCTGACAAAAAAAAAAAAATCAAAAACATGGAATTAAATACTGTGTGGATTATAACATCATGGTGGGATTATTTCAAACAGGAATGCTCTTTGAATCTATAAATACAGCTGAAAATTCAATTCAGAATTAAAAACCAAGCAATCAAATAATCTGCACTCTTTAGTTAGAGCCTGAGGTAGATGTTTAGTGCCTCTTTGTATGTGTGTGTGTGTGTGTGTGTTGTGTGTGTGTGTGTGTGTGTGTGTGTGTGTGTGTGTGTGTACATGTTAAAAGATCTTTGTGAGGACAGAAAATTGGCATGCCACTGTACTTGTGAGGACGAACAGTCACTTATGGAGACAAAATGCCTGTTCACACAAGTTTGAAGGTATTTTTGAGGCTCAAAGTGTGGTTAAAGTGTCAGGGTTACTATTAGGTCATGGTTAGGTTTAGGCTACGGGTTATAGTATGGTATTCATTTTTGATGGTAAGGCTAGGGAAAGCATTATGCCAATGAGAGTGAGGACCTCTAAAGTCCTCCAAAGTAATCCGATTACTTTTTTAAAGTAACGGGTAAAGTAAGGGATTACTATTGCAAAAAAGTAATGAGATTACTGTTACTTTCCCGTAAGCACGCTGCATTACTGCATTACTAAACTGTCGTGATTTTGTTTGTTAGAGTGTCACATGACAATGATTTACGAGCGACATCCGTGGCAGCAACAGACGTGTGTAGATCAACAATGGATAATATGGAGTGCAGGAGAGAGTTTGACCATGCAGCATTTAAAGCATGGACGTACTTACATTACTTTAAGTTTTATTCCGTAAAAAGTGACAAAAACATTAGCGTCTGCTGTACAGTCTGTGTGGGAAGAAAGCTACTTTCCACAGCAAAAACTTGAACTTCAAATCTGAGCAAGCACCGAGCACGCTGCCACGGGAACGTGAAATTCACAGAGAAACCCCCGGATCCTCCCACTGACGTGACACTGGTCCTCACTAAGATATGAAAACATGTGTGCATGTGTGTGTATGTGCGTGTGTGTGTATGCATGCATTAGCTAGCTGCACTGCTGCTGCCTCTACGTCCTCAGTGGGCTGAAGAACGGGTGCCACAGTGCCTCCTCCAGGGTGATCCGTCTGGACACATCATATTCCAACATGCAGCTGAGCAGATCGAACAACTGCCTCTCCTCCTCGTTCTGCGTCTGCATGTACAGCTGAGAGACAGAAATAATCAGATTTCCTACAGCTACCAGTCCCAGCTCACAGCTGAAGCTGACTGGTTGATGTGAGTGCCGGGTACCTTGAGAGGTCGACAGTGTTTCCTGATGTATTCATCGTCCCAGTTCAGACACTCGCTGTGCACATAATGCTTCTTCCTACACAGATTACATGCACAGTGTTTATATTCAGTTGCAGACAAAAACACTCTGTCAACACACACAACACACTACT